TAACAAACCCAAGGCGAGCGCACCATGGCTAACAACACCATTACTCTTCCTCGCAACAGCTAACAAGATAGCAGCCATCCAGCCCCGCGCTGTCGACGGCGCCAACTCCCTCAGCGGATGTATGGCCCTGATGACGGCTCTCCTATTCCTGTGCCACGCCCTTGCAGCCTACTGAGCCCTGCTACCCTGCTCCCTGCCCTTCTAAATCTGCTGTCACGCCCGCGAGGCTCACGGGCGGTACCAAACATGCTGCTGTGCTCGCTGCGTTTCCTCGCAAGAGGCGGGGCGCCGCTCCCCGCGACGGGCGGGCTCGAGTCGCTTCGCCGCCCCGTCGTCGGCCGGCGGTGACCTCGCTGAACACGGTGGAGCGTTTCTCCGTCACTGACCTTTTTGTGGCTTTACAAGCAGACTGAAAGACTGTCGCCTCTCGGAAGATCAAAGCAGCGCTGCGGCGATGTGTGCCGCCGCCAGAGATGGAGAAGGGAGCATCGGCTGACTGTGTCTTCCTTTCGAGTGGAAGGAATCGCCGCTTTGGGCATCGCACGGAGGATGTCCCAGCTCAGTGACTTACAGAGAATCCGAGAACTCAAAGTGTAACCATTTTCAGTGCGATTTGTCGAGCGAGACACTCTTTTGATAGCCTGTGTGGATGCTCCTTCAGGCATGTGGTGACTATTATTTTCTTTTTTTAGGTCTATGTATAAGGAGACTTATTGACAAGCCCAGTTTGAGTGACGAACTAAGCCATTGAGAGCTGTCTAGAAATGCAGATATATTCCTTCAAACTACTGAGAGCCTTTCACCTTACGTTACAAATTCAAAAAGTAAAAAGAAAAAGTAATATTTCGATCAGAGTATGAAGAAAAACAAAAAGCAAAGCATAAGCAGTCGAACTGACTTACACACCTGCCAGGCACTTTGCATAGCAGTGTGCTTGGTGTGTAATCATACATCTTCATATACATGTCTCTTTGCAGCCGCGTAGAATCGCCACACAGTGGAGGTTAAGTGAACGTTAAGGCAGGCAAGTTTCGCGACAGACCAGTGCCGCCGCAGCTGCAGGCTCGGGGGAGAACAAGGATAGGACAACCTGCTTTCTTTGTTAGATCTGAATGTGCTTTTGTCCGTAAAATCCTCGGCAGCAAAACTATATCAAAGGACCGTCCCGGTGAGAAGAGAAATGTGTAACAAGACTGTCAGAGTATGTGTATATCCTTGCAAAAACGTTTCTGGTACGTCAGACTCTCTGCAATATGCTATAGAGATATTTTGTCCTAACAACTGATAGAATATTCAGAATATTGTTTATGTGTCCATAAACATAATTATGGATGTAAACATCACACACACACACACACACACACACACACACACACACACACACACACACACACACACACACACACACACACACACACACACACACACACACACACACACACACAACACACACACATAAACACACACACACGCGCGCATGCATGGGTGCAGACACACAGTCGGTCAGACAGCCAGTTAGTCAAAATATTAACAAACAGACGAGCAAACAGACTGGTAAGCTGACTAAAAACAACAACAACAACAACAAAAACAAACATACAAGCAGTAAAAGAAACAAACAGCTAACATGTATGTCTTCTAGCGGGTGAAGATAGGCAGTCTGACAAACTTTAAGATAGCCAGAAATAGACAGAAAGAAAATAGACATTCAGACGGAGATAAAAGGAAGACCACCCTTGCAATTGCACGTTAAAACGCATGCAACTTGATCCAAGGACACTACAGCGTGGCCCACGGACGTCTCGCTCGTTTTAGAGTGGTGAAAGGAAGGAATTTTGAAGAAGTGGAAAATGAAGACAAACAAACAAACAAAAACAGTGATGTTAAGTTCTCGATATAGATGTTTGTGTTGGTGTATGTGTGTGCTAGATATGCATGCCAGAAAGCCTACAGTTTTACTCATTTACTGAAAAGTTTATACAAACTGTGTAGAAAGTATATATATATACTGTATATATATAACAAAAACAGGAATGGCAGAAAAAGAGAAGAAAATTAAATATATATACATATAAAGAGAAAAGAAAATGCTCACAGGACTTCCACATTCTAACTGATAAGATAAAAAAGTTAGAAAAAAATAAAAATAAAAAGGATAATGTTCTCGGATACACGCTCAAAATAAAAAGCAGAGGAAGGTTATTTTCTCACGCGGTCAGCTGTGGCAAGAGACGGGTCTTTCAGAGTGGGAGAGAGAGAGAGCCTCATTTAGTCAGCTCAATATATAAAGGAGGAAAAAAAATATTTTAATTATGAGACCCCTGACTATCTGTAAATGTTATCTAGTGTAACTCTTATTTATCTCTTGTTTGTTATACATGTGGTCGGTGTACAGGGCGATATGTTGGTTAAATTGATTAGCCATGTTTTAATAAAATAAAATAAAAAAAACATGTGTGGAATATTTTTGGAAAATAAACATCCGCTGCACTATTGTAGA